GACCGGGCTCGGGAATTACAAGGTTCGACGGATCGGGTTGTGGAAGGGCACTACTAGTAGCAGTAGAAGAGGAGGAAGCTTCAGAGGCGGGCAGAAGGACGGCGGCCCCAAGGCTTTCATCGGTGGACGATGATCCAAGGGAGGCGAAGAGGAAAAGAAGATTTGCACTGGAAAGGAGTAATGATGGCTGCATCTTTGCGAAAGAAGAATTCTAAAAGAACAATTCGAATCAAAACAAAACAGTGAGTAGCGTTTGACGATGTCGCCAGCTGGCGTCAGTAAAGAGCACCAGGCTGTGAATCATCGTGTCCACGTTTTTCGCTGCCGCTACACAGCCAACGTTAGAGGGCGCAAAACACCTTCTTATCAGATGAACAGTATAAAATGACCGCCCAACTGCTGCTAGGAAACAGAAGCCGCTTTGTCTTCTTCGGGTGATCATCACTTTTTTGCCATCGCCATCGCCACCGCCATCACCACCGCAATGAATCCACTTTCCATCCACTTTACCTTTTCCTCACTTCCCTTTTCTCTTTTGTTGATCACCCTCCTCACTACCGTAACCACTTTGCCAATTGGCGAAAAGACCTTGGTCAACTGAACTGCCGCCATCCAGGATCACTTTCCGGCAAAGCTAAAACTGTCGCTTGGAGCTCTGCTGGACTACCCTGAAGATCTCTCTGATGATGATTTTGCCACCCTTGAGCACTGCTACACCGCCTACTCCGAGCTGAACATCTTCAATCGGTCGCTGCCCTTCTCCGCCGTCGTTCAGTGGTACTACCTGGTAAGAGGTCGCCCGCATTGTTTACCCTTTTGAATATTCTAAAACTTGATGTTATCTACTGTCTAGAATCGCTTTCCACACAAGGCCATCACCACCGAGGGCATCTACCGACTGGTGGAGAGCACGCAGAGCATCATCAGCCAGTGCTCGGCAAAGAGTGGCCGGGAAGGCCTGAAGTACGGGCTCACCTTCCTCTCCGACCAGCCCTTTCCCTACCTGGAGGCTCTTCTGCTCGAGAAGGATGGAAGGGAAAGAAGAAGAAGCGCAAAGTCTTTAAGGAGAGCAGATGCCCGGAGCTCGCCTCGATGTGAACTGCCATCAATCGATTCACCTCTTCCACTCACCTTCGATTTGAGGGAGCACCAGGCGGTTACGCCAGTTCGCTCACAACAGTTCTGCGGTAGCTGGTAAGTGGGTGTTTATTTGGGGTTCTTTTTTAAGGTTCTCACAAGGCTCCTTGACTGCACTTTTGCAGTTGGCTCTTTGCCAGCATGGCCGCCCTGGAGTCTGCGCTGCTGCTGCACTCCGCCTCCTTCTCCGGAATGGATCCCCGCTCGCTGGACCTGGCCGAGCAGCAGCTGGTGGTCTGCGCGAAGGGCTGCAAAGGGGCCAAGGTGGGTGACGCCTACGAGTACATCCTCCAGCATGGCATCACCTGAGGAGCACCTGCGCTACGATCCTCACCCCTACAGCGGTTACTTTGATGCGGACGACGAGGACGACTTCTCCCCCTTTGCCTCCTCTCGATCTTCACTCTCGCTACTTTCAAGCGGGTCCTGTTCTGAAGAACTGCACCGAGAACTGCTGCTTGAAGAGGATGAGGAATATTATGATGATGACTATGAGAGCCTTGAAGATCTCCTCCCCCTCTCCCCCGAAGATCATCTACCCCCTGGAGGGCTACTGCTGGCTGAAGGACAACACTGACCTGGAGATGAAGCGGGCGCTGCTCAGCCAGGGCCCCCTGTACGTCTCCATGAACGCCGAGGACTCGGGCATTGCTTCTGCAGAGTTTNGGCGCCGTCAATGCCTCTCACTGCAACTCTGACCCGCTCAATCACTCGGTCCTTCTGGTCGGCTACACGGAGGACACTTGGATTCTCAAGAACAGCTGGGGTAGCCACTGGAACGGTGACGGCTACTTCGAGGTGGTCCAGGGCCGGCAGATGTGCGGCATCAATCGGGAGATGGCCTGGCCGCTCCTCAAGAAAAACGTTTTTTAGTTTGTGCCGGTGGTGATGGCTTTTATCTATTCCCTCTTTTTTGCCTCAACTTATGCTTTTTATTTAATCATGTGTAACATTCTTATTACATCCTTTTTAGAATCCAGATGATTCCTTTGCTAAATTAAACTTTTTTGCCAATGTAACTTTTTGAACTTTGCAAACTTCAAAATGACTCAATTTTTGGCTGTAATCTGCAAGATCGGTGAGCTGTACGATTGTACAACTTGTTATCAGAAGTTAACAGCACTAAAATTGCAGGTGAGTCTACTGTAAAGTCGGCTAATTGATTTATCTCATCGTAGGCTATTAATTTTCTAAACCTCACTATCACTCAAGTGTTTTTAGTTTTTGCTTTTTTAATTAATGGGGCAAATCGGTAAAGTGAAAAAATGGAAAAGTAAAAAATTGGCCTGCAATAGCAGGGTAACATCTTTGGTAGTTTTTTTGCACTTGCTGGGACAGTCGGTGAGGAGTATAAAAGGTGGAACTAAAGTTGCCATCAAACACACAAATCAACAAACAACCTCTCCAGCAACTGTCAAACTCCAAAATTTCAAAATGCAATTTAAAGTTTGCATTCTGGCAGCTGTTTCTGCTCTACTCGTAAGCTGTTTGGAAGCAGGTAAAGTCGCTAACTTAGGTATTAAACATTTTACTAACCAAAACCTGTCTTTTTTTGCAGTTCCCCTAAAAGAAGAGACCTTTTCATCATCGTCAGCAGCAGCAGCCCCAGCAGCATGCTCCAGTGCAGTGTGCAAAGAGACGGCCAAGTTCTTCCTCAGCTCAATGAACGCCACCGCCAACCCGTGTGACGACTTTTACGAGTTTGCCTGTGGCGCCTGGCGAACTAAGCCGATTCCCGAGGACAAAGTCCAAAACTGGGTCCTGACCGAGATGGACGACCACCTGAATGGGCAGATCAGGGAGCTGCTGGCCAAGTACAACGTCGAAGTGGACGGGAAGAAGAACGCCCGAGCGGTGACGCTGGCCGCCTCCGCCTACCAGCGCTGTATGCAGCTGAAGGACAACAACACCGAGGGAGTTCAGTACATTAAGGAGCTGGTGGATGAGGTGCTAGGTGCGTGGACCATTGGTCGGAAGGTGGAGCTGCACAAGAGCTGGCAGCAGATTCTGGTGGAGGCAATGGCAAGGGGAAATGGATTCCCGGTCTTCTCGATTGGACTGTACCCGGACGCACAGAACACCAGCAAGAATGATTTTTGGGTAAACGGCAAAACAGGAAATCTCAATTTATTAAAACTTTTTTTCAACCAGTTCTCCCCGGTGGCACTCGGCTTGGGCGACCTTCAGCTGAAGAACCTCTCTGCAAATGTCCCTCTGATCACCGCCTACAAGGAGTACATCCGCAGCTCGGCGAAGCTTTTCTGCGGCGCCAACTGCGCCAACCTCGAGGCGGACATTGACGCCATCGTCCACCTCGAGTCAGAGCTGGCCCAGGGAAAGCTGAGCCTCGATGTGTCCCGCGACCCGGCCAACATGGAGCGGAAGATGACGCTGAAGGAGTTCTCCGCACAAACAAAGATGAACTGGCTAGGCGAAATCATCGTGCCGCTCTTCAAGGCGCTGAACGTTTCCGGCTGGGAGCAGATCACCGACGGCCAAGAGGTGATCATCAACGACATCGGCTACCTTACCCGAGTAGTTTCCGTCCTCTCGAAGACCTCCCCGGTGACGGTGGCAAACCTCGTCGGCTGGCGCATCGTCACCACCAACGGGCCCCAGTCCTCGGAGGTCTTCCGCCAGAACATGCTCGCCTTTGAGCGGGTCAACCTTGGACTGAAGAAGCTGCCGCCGAGGTCGACCGCCTGCTACTACCAGGTCAACGGACAGTTGGGCTATCCGCAGATGAACATGGCCGTCAGTCGGCTGTGGATCGACCACCACTTTCCCCCCTCAGAGAAGATNGCAGCTGGGCTATCCGCAGATGAACATGGCCGTCAGTCGGCTGTGGATCGACCACCACTTTCCCCCCTCTGAAAAGATCGAATCGGAGCACCTGGTGGAGTCCATTCAGCGCACCTTCGGCCACATGCTCCTCGATAACGGGTGGA